AGTATAACGCCTTTTGGGGCGACTAACGGAGCGAGCGAGAGGGTGAGCTTTGCACGTGCGAAATTTCGAGGGGGTACCTCCAGCTGACTTGTGCACGGCACCCTACTAACCGGTCTCTAGCGATGTGCCAAATTTGAGCACAATCGGCCCAGCCGTTCTCGAGATCTGGAAGCGGCACCCTGCACGTGCGCACGTGCAAAATGGGTCCCAACTGGCTTGTGCACGGCACCCTACTAACCGGTCCCTAGCCATGTACCAAATTTGAGCGCAATCGGTCCAGCCGTTCCCGAGATCTGGAAACGACCCCTGCACGTGCGCACGTGCAGCAGCACCCCAACTATGGCACATGTATATGCAGTGCCTAGTGGGTGCCTACCTACATGCAAACTTTCAGCGCAATCGGCCAAGTAGTTACCGAGATATTGCAACAATTACAAAAGTGACACCTCTTCGTTTTGCACGTGGCACGTGCATAAGGGGTCACCCACATGCATCGGGAATAGTCCAATACTTGGTAGAAGGAATGAAGCTACCCTACAAAAATTACCGCGTGTAAATCGGTCAAGTGGTTGCTGAGATATAAGCCTCGCAAAAGCGTGACCACGGCCGGCCGGCCGGCCGGCCGGCCGCTCATACTCAGAAATTTCCGTTAATCTAAGGAAAGACTACGCTCGCTTCGCTCGCTCCGTAATAACGCCAATAAAACCCGATGCATGAACTCAAAGATTGTCCGAAATTATTTTAAAATATTTAAATAATTAAGAAATTATTTAAAAAATATAATAGTAAATATAAAAATCAGTCACACGCCCACGCTATTGGCTCCCAGCAATGCGTCTCAGCCTCATATGTAGCGATAAGGGTTCAACAAATACAATATCGCGATATTGTCGAGCTATCAAAGAACATCACAAGAAGTTGACACGTTGTCACAAACGTGACGTGTTCCCGGCCGCGCCCACGCCGCCCTGTCCTGCACCATTCGGTCCCAGTTGTCGATCCCTGGGCCGGGTCAGGACGGTGCGGGCCGGAACACCGACTCTGGTGGACAGGAGCAGTGGGTGGGCGGCCGGGCGGAGTCTGACGCCGTGTTCAGGAGCCCCGGCACGGCCCAGCCGCTGTCGGTCGGCCCACAACACCTCTCTGCTGAGACTAGGACCGTGTGTCGATAGCCTGCGGCCATTCGCAGCGGTCGGAGATGAGGCGCCGGTCAGAACTGGCTCCAGTCAGCTCACAAACGAGCCGACCAGGCAGAGGGCAGACCGGGGAGGAGGCAACCGACCAGGGAAGGAATCCCAGGCATGGCGGTTGCCATCGCATAGATTATGTGGGTGAATGATCTTCCCGAACAAAAATAAAGGATCAATAATATGAAGAGTTAAAACTGACTAAAATAAAATAGCATCTAGCAGGGACGGCCCCAAGACGACAGTTCTAACACAGTGCCACCGGCCCCGGCATCGAGTCTCTAGCAGCCAGCGCCGTTCGGGAGGTGGCAGAAAAGGCACGCAAATTAAATCCAGACGAATTCAAACGAATTTAATTAAATTAGGCCTGCTAGAACCAAACCGAGCGAAATTAATGTTTGATTAATTTAATTCAGCGCAGAGTATCACACCCCAGAAAACCTAAAACAAACACATTAATCTGGAAAACATTTTGAAGCGTGCTCTTACTGGTTTCAGCAGATTTTCACATGAGCGAAACATCCAGGAGCGAAAATGGCCACAGCGGAGTGCACATACTATATGAGTGGGGTAGCAAACTTCCAGAAGAATGATATGAATGAATACTGGAAGCAAGTCTGTCAGGCTGGCCACAAATGACCTGAACAACTCGATAAATGGTGGCTTCATCGAAGAACTTGGTAACCAATGTTTTCCACAGAACTGCGGAGAATAGTTAAAAGAAACAAGCACAGCTCCTAACTCAAACCATCATAAGATGCGATTTTCAACAGCAGAAACCTAAACTGAGGCCAGTCTTCCTATTTACTCTCAGGTATGTAAATGTCAGAGTCGTACGGAAACAACAAGAGCGCATATCCATTCCAAACCTGAACATCAAACGCCACGCCTTTTACAGGACGCGTTTGAAAAAAAATCGTCGCGAGTGTGTGAAAATTGTTACGGCAGGTCATTTTGCTTTGATGTTAAAGTTAGCTTGATGTTCGCCTCTGGATAAATAAGCTCGCCTTGAGCTTTGGCTGACATTTATCGGTAAAATGATGCGGTTCGGAATAGAGGCGCGTTACGGATGTGGGCGTAAAATGGCGTGCGCACAATGCCTGATATGAATCCGGCTTAAATGGTTGAAACTTTTTGCTACTGTCAACTTCCTCACAGACCGTAAAAATAACCATAAACGCGGGATCGAAGCCTTCCGATTCGAACAAAGGCGGACACAAACCGTCTAACATGAGCCAAATAGCAAGGCGCTGGTTACATTGGGGAGCTGCAGGCGCCGATCAGTGCCTTCATTGCGCCGGCTCTGTTCTGACTATGTCATAATTTAACTTGATCCTGACAAGCCAAAGCTCTTCGACGACTCCGGCAGGACCAGACTCCAAGACTACCGACAACCACACCCAAGAGACTTCCTCGTCTCGACCTCAGGCCCGTCTTTGTTTACGGGCAATGATGAAGCATCTCGAGTGCCTGCCGTCCCCGACTCTGTCAATTACTACGTCCCCGGGCCAATACCACGCGCCCCGGCCCGCCGGAGCGGCCCATGCTCCCGGCGAACGTCAATACTCTCACGAAGCACCGGATAATTTCCGTAATTCAAGCCAGTGTGCTCCAGTATCGGGCTGATAAACCCCACGCAGCCGGGCGGCCGACACGGCGTCACAAAGCGCCGGCGGCGGGCGCACAATGCCGCGGCCGACCCGGCGCGCTGAGACAATCAGACGGCGCGCCGCCACCAGGCGGGCATCAATCCCGTCGGCGGGCGCCATCGGTCAGCCGCCGACGGCTCACCACACCGGGGGCCGCCCGAGCAGGCGCCGAGACCCGCCGACCGGCAGCGCAGGAGCTCAGCGACATACCCGACGGAGGAGGCTACATTTGAACATCATCCTCGGTTTCATGACGATACCTTCACCCACGGATTTACGCTCAGGCACGTAGTGACAGCCCCGTCTGTGGACAGAGCCACGGTTCTCTTTCCGACCGTCGCATCACCGCACCGGTGCGATTACCGATTATCCTGGCTGTGTCGCGAGACACTCTCGTCATCCCGGCTACACGCGGGGGCGGCGGCAAGGGCGGCGGCGAGGGCGGTGGAGCGGCGGCGAGGGCGTCGGCGGGGCCGAGGCCGAGGCCGGTCATGGTCATCCAATTACCGAACTCGGGGAGCGGGGCGGGACTCCCCGCATAGGAACAAGGACGGCCCGATAATCGACAGTAGAGGTGGCAAAAGATGAAAATTTTGGGAACCAGACTCGAACCAGACCCGGCTGGACATTTCTGGAACCAGTCGGACCCGGTCTTAGTTGGAATCGGAACCAGTTGGACCCGTTCCCCAAAAGTCAATTAATACAAACTACTTGAAGGTATCATTAGTTGCATCATGTAAAACAGCTTATTTCCCACTGGGAATACTCATGAGCTACTGTATGCAAAGAAACATTCACTTCATTCACTTTATATTTTGCAATAATGTGTAGTGTGCAAGATGTATAGTTTATGGTAGGACCCGGTTGAACCCGTCAGAAAATTTCAAGGACCCGGTCTGGACCCATATGGGTCCAGACTGGTTCTTTGGACCTCGGGTCCACATTTTGCCACCTCTAATCGACAGATCCGCCAGCTCCCACCTCGTCGGCTATTTTGCGCTGCAGACGCAAACTACGCGTGCACCGAGCCGACGCTCCGAGAGCGTTCCGAAAAACGACGGGTCGATTCGGACGACCTGGTGAGCCGCTGAAATTACGATCGAGATAGTTTGGATAGTTTCTGAGAGCTGTCTCATATCGGAGAAGTACATATTTGCATTCTTTGCAGAATACGGAACGTAGTCCGTCGCAACAGTGATCAGAGTTCATCAGCGTCCGGATGTGCAGATATGAACGAAGACGAGAAATGTGATAAAAAGATAATGAAAACGATCGGTTTCGGGATAACGACCGATGTAAGAGACAATCGTTAACGAAAATACGCAAAAAACACCTCTTTTGGACGAAATCATAGCAGCTTTTGGATATCCTAACCATAGTCGTCCTTATTGATTGTCTTAAAGACAATCAACGCCATCTCCCAGCATAAGGTCTATCTTCGAACGGTAGGTAACTGCAGCATCATTTAAAACGGTGTTATGGCTAATGAACCATTAATCCTCATCTCTCATCCGAAAAAAGAGCCCAACTTTTTTTAACTTATCTTCCATTTACACCAGTTTCTTCCGTAGACCACCATTTAGAAGGAGGGAAGTTATCCACCCGATCAGTGAAACATCGTATGAAACTTCCGCTTACGGAGTAATTGAGCGGAGAACTTGCTTTAAATGCCGAACAAGGCAGGGCTAAAAAAAACATCTGCGAATATTTACGGCAAAGTGAATCACGGGCGTGATAACAATGTTGTAACCTAAACGTGAGGTGGTTTTGATGCCTCATGGTACGGTCCAGATCAAACAAGGCCAGGCTGCGGTAGGCTGAAAATGCTTGGGTTGTCGAATAAACCGTGTCACACTCCAATACCCCGAACATTAACGATGCGGATTGCTACTGATTGCGTTGAGCGGATGCGGAACATCTGCCATACGAGTGGTAAATAGATGTGGATGCAGTGCTGAAAGCACACACACCCAGCTTCTTGAACAGTCCAAGACTGATTCCAAAAGCCATTACTTGCACTTTATCACACGAGGCGCACCGATAACCTGCACCGTCCGTAAAGGTCCGACGGGAGCGCGACTACAGCGCCCCATCCGCACGTTCACGCCCCCTAGCTACAGCGCTGGCAGCACCCCTGGCGGCCGGCGGCGGAACCAGTACTCACTGATGGCTTTGCCGTCCTTCCAGTGGGTGACTTTGAGGGTGACGGGGCCGTCGGTGGTCACCTTCTTCACGTCGGACTTGAGGGCCTGCCGCAGCACACGTGCCGCGATGGCAGAGTACTGCAGGTAGCTGGAAAAGTGAGGGTAATGTGAGCAATGTGGGGAGAAACTGCAGGACCTCAGCAGACTGTACTAAACGTTGCTTTAAATAAGGCAGAGCACCAAGGGTCAGAGGATAAAAGAAGGAACATCCTAAATAGGCAGAAGAGTTCCCAAAGGAACTGCTGGTTTCTTTCATTAAATAGGTACACATAGTCACAACTGTTATGAGAAGAGGGCATTTCAGCAGCATGTCCTGAAGCCTGGATTTGGCTGAGATTTTGCAGGGGAAGGGAAGAGGAGTTTATAGGTATGCAATTAATTCTTCTAGAAGGCTGAAAGGGAGGCTGTGTCTACTGTCTACAGACATTTGAGCTGCCAAGTGCCAAACGAAGTGAGGGTATAATAACCATGTTACATTGAAGCATCAAAGCAGCTTTGAAGAACTGGCGTGCCTTGTGCTTCCAAGTTCCTCTTCTCCCTCCCTACGCCCGTCCTGTAAGGCTGGGAAGTGGAAGAACCCCACAAGGTGAGCAAACAAGGTGAGTAAGCTTAAGCTCATACAAGTTTCCTTTCATGTAGGTAGGCAGTGTACACACATGCATAAATTGTAATCTCTAGGTTGGGTGCCTACTTTATAGTTTAACTTCTGGAAACCAGCACAGCCCAGCTAGTATCTGAAAACCAAGGTTAATGGCTGGCAAAATGTGCAATAGGATTATTACTCTGCAACTATTCATTAAAACATCCCCTCTAAATGTGAATGCCTTAAAAACGGTTGGTTTGGGTTAAGCACCACATCCAGTGCAGTCGGGGAAACTATGGTAAAATCTGCTATTTTTAGCAGTCTGCTATTTTTAGCAGAAATCTGCTAAAAATGGGTACGCATGTGACGTCATCGTACCCAAATATAGCAGATTTGGGTACGGCCCCATACAAAGGCAGATCTGCACCCTAATTGAAGCAAATGCGCATCAAATGCCTGGCAGATTCATTATTAGAATAGTGCTGAGAATGTCCTCTGATATTTTTGTTCAGATCCGACTATTTTCAAATAATGAATTTGAAAATAGTCTGATCTGAACAAAAATAGCAGAGATCACTCTCAGCACTATTCTCATCATGAATCTGCCAGGCATTTGATGCGCATTTGCTTCAATTAGGGTGCAGATCTGCTTTTGTATGGGGCCGTACCCAAATCTGCTATATTTGGGTACGATGACGTCACATGCGTACCCATTTTTAGCAGATTTCTGCTAAAAATAGCAGACTGCTAAAAATAGCAGATTTTACCATAGTTTCCCCGACTGAGTGGACCAAGGTGCTAACCGGAACTCTCACGCTGTTCCAAGCGGTCAGGTAGCGGCAATGCCACGTGCATTGCCCGGGAATCGAGCCCGGATGGCCGAATCTCGAGGCAAGTATCTTACCCCTAGACCGGAATGCTCCCCAATGCCTTAAAAACAATTATCAACCAAACTCATTAACCTGAAATGAAATCAAAAAGCAAATACAGGGACCTAGGGATGCTATGCTATTAAAAACAGTAAAATGACTATTTGCGTCGTTGGAGCCAATTGATACAACAATTCAAAATTGAATTTACTTACTTCAGACCAGCTTGCCTCCAGTAAGTCATTTTATTTATTTATTGGGACGGGCGCACAAAAACAACGACGAGAGACAGCGGCGAGGAAAGAAAATCGTGAAGAGTGCACGCATCAGAGTGAGAGGCCCTCCTAAAAAAGAAGAACTTACCAAAATTTCTCTATCACCTAATACCAAGATGCTATTTATCACATTTATGGGTTTTAGCTGCTGGTAGTAAAAATGTAATTTGTTTCAAGATAAATAATGCCGTTGATTGAATATCTTTTGGGACGTATATTTTTCTGTAAAAGCCTGAGAGAAAAATTAAAACGTTTTATTTTAAATCTTGATTCGTAAAGAACGCGTCGTTTATGTCTCATAATTCACATGCGCTTTCATTGCGAGCATATTCGTTTTAAAACTCTGGGAATGTCAATGTAGTATAATGAGCTGCTTTGGTACAATTTGTTTTAAAATGGTGTTGCCCTGAAAACAAGAAATAAATGTATTTTGATTTGTTCTGCACATCGTCTTTCCATGGAGCAATAACACTTTCACCGTTTCTCCCGATTTCGTGGCTGACTGTCGTGACTCATGCCTTGCCTCAGCCTGAGCCGGTGACCCGTTTCAGTTTCAGTTTCCTGTCGGCTTTCTTTGAACCGTCAGCTAGTTGTTGGACCCTGAAGAATTGCTTGTTGAAACCGTGATTAAATCTGACTGAAATATTTTACAATAATTGGGTGTCATTAATAGATTTCTGACCAGCTCAAGCTATTGCAATTGTGATCACTGGGTTGGACAACCAATCAATCTCAAAGGTTGTCTGGGTGGCTGCATCATTCGCCATATGGGCTCATATTTTGACATTGTTACCTGCAGGAAATGTTTTTTTTGTCAGCCTGTCAAACTTTCCATTCACTGCATCTTACCATTGAATCTCGGTAAATGTCAAGTTTAAGTCCTAAGAAGAGTTCATTGATAAATTTTTCATATTTATACATTATTTGACATCCTGAATCCAAAAATGATACTCATATGTCTCGCAAATAAAAGAAAAAACATAATCAAACCTGACCTAACCCCTACTTACCTATAACCTACCAACCTACAACCTACAAACCTACCCTAACCTAACCTAACCTACAAACCTACCTACCTACAACCTAAAACCTACAAACCTACAACCTAACCTAACCTAAAACCTAAAATTTTTGCTGTTTCATATTCGTATCAAAAGCGCCACAATTGTAGTTAGGACCTAAACTTGACATATACCTGAATCTCTTACTTCAAACAAAAACAACATATGTTCAAACTTCAAAATCTTGCATTGGAACTCGGCCATCACTCATGATGCTCACTTTATTGATGAGTGGTCTTCTGATGTTGCTGATTAATTAGATAACAATGTTATAATAATTTGCTTTATGACACCGTAGCCTAGGTACCTATTGCATTAACCATGTCTCTTCATTTTCAGCTCTCTCAAAGCGTGTGCTGCAGAAGACTTTTACTTTGACTTTAGTACCTAACATCTGGAAAAGGTCATTTTCTTCTGCACCTGCCTTAAGTTATCCTTTGGCTCCTGGCTGGGGTAGCAAGCAAGCTGCAAAGAAACCAAAGAAAAAGTATCCTAACCTTTACATCATGGATGCCAAAAGTGAAGAAATTCTGGCTCCTTTGAGAGCTGCTGTTAAGGAGCAGGTGAGATATATGGGCTCATGGACTGCTATATTACAAATTCAATGTATTTATATATTTTTTACACTTTGCATCAAAAGCAATGCCAAGGTCAGTGTAAGAAATGACTGCCATGGTCTTGTGCACTTAGTGAGCAAATTGTTTGCTAAAACCCCAAATTTTCCTCAAGAATGAAGTCATTGAGATAGCTGGAATGATGAAATGAGCATAAATCTAAAAGTTTATTCCTGGGTGAGTTGTGTTTCTCACAAACCCAGATCAAAGCTTTGCTGGCCCACTTTTGCCTAATGATATCATTTAGAGTGCATCATTTTGCATCATTTTGATGATTATTGTTTTCATAGGTCTACCTGCTGCATTGATGAACTGTGTCTCCCCTTGTATCAGGGTGATCTTGTAAGATCACTTAAGGCTGATGGAGCATCAGAGATTGACGTCAAAAAGGCTGTCAATGAACTCAAGGCAAGAAAAAAGCTATTAGAAGATAAAGAATTGGCACTTGCTCCCTCAGAATCAAGTTTTGACAGGACCAAGATGGAAGATCTCTTGAAGAGAAGGTTCTTCTATGACCATTCCTTTGCTATTTATGGAGGCAAGTTACCTAGACATTATTGTAGATCTGTAATCCTTACTAGTTCAAAGATTCATGTTTAGAAAGAAATTCAAAAGTAGATTGATTTCAGAAGTTTCTAAATCAGGTGGCATTGCTTATAATTTGTTTTTGTCAGATTAAATGTAGCATAAGTATTAGTTTCAAACTCAATGCAACAGGTGCTGGTTGTTAAGATCATTACAATTTTCAGGTGTTACTGGTCAGTTTGACTTTGGGCCAATGGGATGTGCACTGAAGTCCAACATTATTTCTGAATGGAGAAACTTCTTTGTGCTGGAGGAACAGATGCTTGAAGTTGACTGCACTGTTCTTACTCCTGAGAATGTCCTCAAGTGAGTACCATTCTACTTTTGCAGGTATGTTTTCACTATGTCTTCTCACCTTCGTTACAGTGCTTCCCATTACTCCCTCCCTCTCTCATATAATGTCAGGTGTTTTTTTTTTCAATCAGAACGTCAGGTCAGGTCGGGCAATTTCAGCTCAACCAGCGCCGTGGCAGTCGTCCGATCACAATGTTTTAAGGTAGGGAAGGAGGTCGTGGAAGTGTTGCCCACTGACTCGGTCCTTGGACCCGTAGTAATTAATGGCAAGCGGCGATTGGGGCTCGTCAAAATACATAAAAAGGTATCTGACCCATATTTTACTAGTCAGTTCTGGTTATCAGAAGTGATTCCCGAATTTAGCGTATATGTACAAACTTGCTCGTGTTTCATGATCTAATAGAGCTACAACATCGCGGAAGAAGGCCTAACCAGAGATGTCTACATCTTCAGGGCCTCTGGGCACGTGGAGCGTTTTGCCGACTTCATGGTGAAGGACCTGAAGAACGGCGAGTGCTTCCGGCTGGACCACCTCATCAAGGCCTTCCTGGAGAAGCTGGCCGCCGACAAGAAGACGAATGAGGCAACCCGCCAGGAGTGTCTCACCACCGTGGCCAGGGTGAGGGTTGGGTGTCGAGACTCGAGAGTCATATCGTTTGACCCAGGAAACCTGCTCATTAAGCTAATGCGAACAAAAACTGGTCAGCTGGCTGGATGGTCGGTCATTATTCTTTATTGTTCATATGATGCGGCTTAAAACATCGCAGCTGGTAGGACGCCAATCAAAATACGACCCTGTTAGACTTTTGTGGAGCATCTTATCGCGTACAAAAAGGGGTGCGAAGGGCGACACTTCTAGGTTCCTCAGTTATTTCAGAAGCGGGGTTGTCTGTATGCTCAATGCTGAGCTTATTGTTGATCAAAACACGGTTTTGGTCATCGCTATATATGGACGTATTGGTAAGCTGAGGTCTAAACCATTTCTCCATGAACCGTGGTTTGACACTCGCCGCTCCTGTCACACAGCTGGACGGTATGACCCGAGAAGAGATGAACGCCATCATGCGCAAGTACGAAATGAAGTCGCCCATCACCGGCAACGATCTGTCTGACGCCATGGAGTTCAACCTCATGTTCAGCACGTCCATCGGACCCACCGGCCTGCTCAAGGGGTAGGTCACGCCGCTGCTGCTTACCGTTGCTATGACTGTCAGTTTCTCTGTTGACTGTTACAAATACGCTAAAGTGAAATAGATAGCATGTTGACTGCTGGATATTTATCACGATCATGTGGTGGTCTAATTTTGATTATGGAAGTCTCAACATATTTGCTCTAAGAGACATGTCCGGTCCGCGATGTGCGCAAAATGACCTCGTAGTCGGCGCGCCCCTATTACCACCCCCAACAAACAGACAAACAAGACATGTCCGCTCTGTCCGCTCAGATACCTTCGTCCGGAGACTGCGCAGGGTATGTTCGTCAACTTCAAACGGCTGCTCGAGTTCAACTCTGGGCGACTGCCGTTCGCCGCCGCTCAGATCGGTAACGCGTTCCGGAACGAGATCTCGCCCCGCAGCGGGCTGATCCGAGTCAGGTGGGTGTATTGATCCATTTACTTGCACAATGGAACGACACTAACGTGCCGGCGTTTTCATGTTCTGTCTTGCGCTGAGTCTGTTCATAGGGAAAAATGCTGCGGTGTATGCATCTTCCATTTTGCCAGTCTCGGCGCTCCTTATTTCGTCTTTGAATCTCGGTGACACTCGTCTAACATTATGTTTTAGTTGCCACTGCAGTGTATCCCAGTGTCACCTACTCACTCTGACTGTGCGTTTCGCAGAGAGTTCACCATGGCCGAGATCGAGCACTTTTGCGACCCGGACGAGAAGGACCACCCGCGGTTCGCGTCCGTCAAGGACCAGACGCTGGTGCTGTTCTCGGCCTGTAACCAGATGGACGGAGTGGCCGCGCAGACCACCACCATCGGGGAGGCCGTCGCAAAGGTGGGATTCGTGCAATGGACAGGCGGGTGAAGGAGAGAAGTGTAAGCTCCGTGGATGTGTGTGGTATCAGTCAATGGGTTGAAAGAGGCGGCGGTCAATATTGCGAAGTGGCGGTGACCGTTGCTAGATATGAAAGAGTCGAAGGAATGTCCTTTTATTATTTCTTGAATTATTTGGAAATTATACACTAAGATATCAGCATCACATGTTCTGGACTCTCGACCGATGCCCTTTGGCATTTACGCGAGGCCCGACGTACTGACACTATGCTGACCCGCCCCGCTGACCCGCCGCTCTCAGAAACTGGTGGCCAACGAGACTCTGGGCTACTTCATGGCGCGCATCCAGCAATTCCTGCTGCGGATCGGCGTGGACAAGGCGCGGCTGCGCTTCCGTCAGCATATGTCCAACGAGATGGCCCACTACGCGTGTGACTGCTGGGACGCAGAGATACTCACCTCATACGTGAGTACTCGCTTGGACCAATAGGGCCGTAGTCGTATGCGGGGTCCTTTAATAGTCTGATAATTTGGAGAATCAGTGTTGTGTTTTGGATCTTACTTCAGTTGTGGCCTCGGTGGAGAGATTGTTGATACATGACCCATGGAAATCTAGTCTTGTTTTTTTTTTTGTATGCTTTTCGTGGCATTGACCGGTTGATACCTCTTGCTTCATTTATGCAAATCGCGTATTCAATCTGATCTGTGCTGCAAATGTAGCCCCCATCGCGCATTTGTCTTGTTTTAGTTTCCATTTCATCGCTCTGCTGGGATGACTCGGGTGTTATTTCACAAGCTTTGCACACATTAGCTACACCAGCTTAAGGATGTCTAACTAAGCTTCCCCGACTCGTTCTCAGGGCTGGGTGGAGTGCGTCGGATGCGCCGACCGATCGGCGTACGACCTCACCCAGCACACCAAGGCCACCGGCGTCAAACTGGTGGCAGAAAAGAAACTGCCCGCCCCCAAAACCGTCGATGTTGTCGGTGAGTGGGAAAGGGATGAGAGAAAGGGAAAGAGGAGAGACAGAATGGACAACTCGACCTGAGGTATTGGGGCAAGATTGATTCTTATGTTGGTAAATTTACACATAGCAAAACGGATCCAATGAGACATCACGTTATTGCTTGTGTGTAGGATCTGGATTGTATACATGCACGATGTTTTGCTTTGTTGTTCGTCATTAACTTTTGTCTTCTCTCGCAGAGCCTGTGATAGTGAAGGGTGTGCTGGGGAAGCAGTTCAAGAAGGACGCCAAAAAGGTGACGGACGCGCTGACGGCCCTGTCACCCGAGCAGCTCACGGAGATGGAGAACAAGCTGAACGAGGCTGGGTACGTGACGAAGGGCGATGCACTGCTGTACCTTGCTATCCTTTCGTAGTTGACAAACTTGGTATTGAAGTGGTTTCATCCTTAAAGGGACCCTCCCACCCTCAAAAAAGTTAATGAATTGGCACGAAAGTGATGTCGCTCGGTTCAGAAAGAGCGAAAACGAATATCTACCAAATTTCATCGAAAAATATTCACCGGTTTTCAAGATATTAGACTTTTACTTTTGTTTACTTTTTGGGATCTCCGCTGTTCCTAGCGACTTTATTTGAAAGTGCGGCATTTGTTGCGCGCAAAGCAGCATATACCACCGCGTGCTACCAAACGTTTTAGTAAAAGATTTAAAAATCGTTAGATCTCCGCTGACGTCACAAATTCTAAGGGGGCATACCAATGCACTAGCCCCTTAGAATCCGAAAACTGCAAGTTTGAAATTCCATATCTCCGAATTAAAGCATTTGTCGATGTTGTGAGTGCCCAAACCGGTATTTGCAGGCCATGGCCACCAATTTGGCTATCTCAACTCAAAACTAATGTTAAGGTGGGAGTGTCCCTTTAAATATTTATAATTCACTCCTGTTGTCTTTTGTAAGGTTGTTCTTCTGTCATTCGTAGCGCACTAGTCAGTAGCGGCGAAACACCTTCAATTAAGGGGGGGGCACTGCCGAATTTTGGTCCCATTCTTTCCATGCAACGCCCATAGGGCTAATGTTAAAATGCAAAAATCAAAGGGGGGCACGGTGCCCCGGTGCCCTCCCCGTTCCGCCGCCTATGACACTAGTATGTATGATGCATAGACGAAGTAGGAAATCGTATAAAACAGAAGGGAGTTTTTACCTTGTTCTGTGGTAGCAGCTTGTACGCATTATTTTATCTCCATTCTGCAATATTAGCTGACGGTTCCGCCCTCCTTCCCCCCAGCACCTACCAGCTGACGGCGGCGGACGGCAGCTCGTTCGCCATCTCCAAGGACGTGGTGTCGGTGAAGCGGCACCAGAAGACGGTGCACGTGGAGGAGGTGGTGCCCAGTGTGATCGAGCCCTCGTTCGGCGTCGGTCGTGTCATGTACGCCCTCCTGGAGCACAGCTTCCGCGTCCGAGAGGATGATGACCAGCGAACGGTGAGTTAGAGAATTGAGGCTGCGTGACTAAGACATAAATTAGCGGAGAGAAGGCTGACGGCGGCGTTGGATTAATAAGGGTACCCATTGAGTGTGACTAACGATGAGTTTGGTTAGCGTGAAGCATAATACCTACAATCAGTATGAGTGAGTGACATCAGTTGTGAGAAGAAAAGATAAGCTTGACTATTTTTAATGCAGTTTCGACGATTATTTCATCACCAACCGCTCATCAGTCATTTTGCGAGTCTTAGTTACATTGTCGTGATCATTTTACCGCTATCTTTTACCATCGCTCGGTCACTATACGCGAATTGTGCTCTATATTGTACGACTGTCCATGTTCGCCGGCAGTTCTTCTCGCTGCCACCGGTCGTAGCTCCGCTCAAGTGCTCCGTCCTGCCTCTCAGCGGAAACTCCGAGTTTGAGCCGTTCGTTACGCAGCTGTGTAAGTAATGCTGGTTTCTGGTCAGCAGCTGGGTATATGTGCTGCTAGTGTATAGCGCTAGCACGGGCTGGCTGTCACTTACGGCTGTTTGAGGCGTGTGGGGCATACGGGCACACCTTTTCTGGCGGTAAATGGATTAGCAGATGAGTGTTGCATCATGTTGTATGTCAAGAATACCGCCTTTTCAAGCGCCATCGGTCAATTACTGAAGGCACTTTTGAAATGTTGTTACTTCCGCTCAGTAGCTACCCGTCTGATAACGACATGCTATTTCATTATCCTAGCAACACTCCCACACTCTTCACCTGCGTACAGCTGGACATGCCTGCCTATGCGGGCTTCTCTCAGACTGTTCCTCGGGCCGCTGAACCATGATTGCATGTAAGATGCTGTGCGTTCCCCACTGACAATCTCATCTCCCTGCAGCCCGTGAGCTGACGACCGCCGGCGTCTCGTGCAAGGTGGACAGTGCCAGCGGCAGCATCGGTAAACGGTACGCGCGAACGGACGAGATCGCCATTCCTTTCGGCGTGACCGTCGACTTCGACACGCTGAAGGAGCCGCACACGGTGACACTGCGCGAGCGCGACTCGCGCGGCCAGGTCCGGCTGCCGGTGAGTAGCGGGGAGGGAGAGGTGGTGGGAGGGAGGAGAGGTGTTTAGAGTGGAAAAGGATGGTGGAAAGGGGGAAACGGTAATGCGAAGCTAAAGAAGATGCTGGGGTTCGAGATGTGTTTGTCGGAGAAATAACTGTCAGTTGCATAAGACGTATTTTGAGGATGTTGCACACGTTTCCGTCATCGGCAAGCCAATTACCATAAGGTTATGAATTATTAGGGTTGCAAGACCAGAGCTTGCACCAATCAAACACCATCCTACTAGGCTCTCAGTAGCAGTCTGTATGAGACGGCAGTTTCACGTACGCGCACTGTTGTGCGTCCTTTCTCCTTGTCACCTCGCCATTTTGCGCTCCAACTACCAGAAGTGACGTTCCTTCTCTCCCTTCGACAGCTCTCGGACGTCGCTCCGCTGGTGTCGAATCTCTCGCGCGGCCTAACCACCTGGGCCGAGGTGGAAGCGAAGTACCCGCGCTTCGAGCAGCAGGAGACCACCAAGGCCGGCGGCGACAGCTGATGGGCGCCCGGGTGCACCAGCGCGCACCAAAGACGACCGGTATTCCGCGACCGGAGGTGACGGAATAGTGCGGCGGGAGGTATTTAATGCGGAACGAGACGGTAATGTTATTGTTCAGGAACCGGGTTATCGCAGATGAATTGCTATTCCTTTTTTGATATGGAACAATACATAGATGTGGCGACGGAACCTGCATTGTGGGGTATTTGATGGGTGTTGTTTGAAAAAAAGACATTTCATTTGCATCCAGTTATTCCGTTATTTCTGGTAATGCTTGGGTGATAGCGAAGCGACGGCGTCGCCACGCGGCCAAATGCAGACAGAGGACATTAAAACATAGCACGACGCCGCGAACTGCTTACAAATAATACCTTATCGCTGGTTGAGTGAGCAACATTTGACCGATCGTACTAAATAACAAGGAATGAGATGACTAGTAAATACGGTAACTGCGTTCGCAATGAGCATCAATGGCATCCTCCTCTGAACAACGGGAGCTAATACAGTGAACGGTTCACACCAAATAAAAATGACATGGCAAGCGGTGCAACAAATCCTGAGAACCTCTCGGCGGCTCATAGCTTTAGATGAGCCTCAACATGGCTCATCAATCAAGTTAACTTCCGTGTACAAATTTCGAGCAGCGGTGCGCAGTTGCGCCTCGATGTCACCATACTAAACGGCCTTTGATCACAAAAAATATCACATTAGCGATGACAATGTTCATTGCCCCGCTCGCTTGGTCCGCCATCATCACAAAACGTTGAGCCGGTGCACGGTTCCGACTGCAAACCGTCAAACGTCCTTACAGCACACATTAGTATCGGTTGCCAACGTTGGAATCCATTGGAACAGCCCCATCGCAATGCAGCAGGCACGCGAGTTGTGTCAGCTATCGTCCTCTGCTGACAGTCCGTCACCGCTGTCATCCAGACGCCGGCGCCGCGCGCGCCACAGCTCGCCGCGGATGCGCCACCGCACGTCGCCGTTTCCTCGCTCCGCCTGCCGGGCGTCGCGTTCGCTGCGGCTGCGCAGTCGCGGGATAGGGTTCAGGTCACCGTCTGCGTCCCAGGGGCGCTCGCTCTGTCTCCTGCGCGCTCTGTGCTGTAGCGATGCCGGAGGTGAGTCTGGTAGGGGAGGAGGCCACTCGTCCCGGCCGACGACCGTAGTCTCTGGCCCATCGAGGTAGAGGTGGCGACACACCTCACTTAGCGAGATGTCACAGACTGGAGGGATACCGCCGGGGGCGGCCGGTGCCGCAGTCACACTGAACTCGTCTTCATACACTCGCGGGTCATGCAGACTAGGAGCGCCTACCAGACCAAGCAAAGGGTAGATGACCAGCACAAAGAGAAACAGGGCCACCACAATGGTGGTGGGCACTGTCAATGCCCACAGCTGCTGTGGCCAGTAGTCGAGACCCAGAGAGAGCAGCCAACTGGGTGGCACCAGTGCCCAGCTCAGGTACACAAGAGCAGCAAGTATACTGGCCACAAATAGCAGAAAGCCGTACACTGCTCGTGATGGTGTTGGTGCGGGACCATTTTCCGGTGCAGCTGGTGGCGGCATGGCACTGGAGCTCCTGTGGGGCACTTCACTGCCACCTGCAGAGTGAGGGAGCAAGACATGTCAGCTTGATATTAGATGTCTCAATCTGGTACCTATGTCTTAACAGATTGGATGGAATGCAGATAATTTTGCCTTTGCCAAAAATACTCTAGCCTCAGCATTTTCTAAAGATTTAAAATTATTCTTAAAACAAACCTTTGCAAAACAACAAATCATCCGGCTGGAAGTAAGTGCTTGGCTCAATACTCAATAGGTACCATTTCAATAAAGGCAACAAGTTTAAGTGATTATTGTAAACAAGGATCCCATTCAAACACATACCTCGGCTCAAACCTTTCATAACTTCGAATGGACTTTGCAATGGGAACAATTCATTGATACTGATACTTGGCCAAATGATACCAGCAATTAGCATTTGTCATAATTTACACAACCACCGCAGACCACCACCGCAGAGTACCTAGTAAAGGAATCTTGCCGCAGACAGCTCCCATGGTAGGTATTTATTGCCAAATTTATTGCCTTCTTGATTGCCTTTGCCCCGCCCCTTGGCTCCCATCATGCAAACAAACTTATCCAAAGAATTTGAGAGGACATTTTAGCAACGCCCACAGATATTTACCCCGCGTTCGATGTCTCTCGGACGGCGAAGATTCTACGCCGTCCGGCCAATCACGTTCTATAACCGCAGCCGAGCCCCCGCTGACCTTGGACGGGATTGGCCGGACGACGTAGAATCTTCGTCGTCCGAGAGACATCGAACGCGGGGTCAGATTTCAGATGAGTGGCTTGTGCAGGCTTGTGCGCAAGATACCTATAAGATGCGTACGGTGCGTACAGCTGATTGATGATTTTACAAGCTATGCTTACAAAATAAAATAATATCTAGCGTCTTATGGTTTTTTGAAACAAACTTGATTCATGAATTTTGAAGTTTGAACAAATTTACTTGAATACTGTGAAAAACATCTAAAAATATTTTTATACATTTTCGAGATATCCGAGACCACTCGTGAAAAACCGGGCTAGTCAGCTGATCAAGATGCTCAAGGAAGTGTAAGCTTACGACGGATTATCGCCAACCACTTTTCCGCAGTCTGAGCCCTGATCGGCGGCCGGCTAGTACTCTTGCCCGCGCTCACATACGTGCACGTTACCCCGGCAACGGGCTATTGACCAATGAGAAGCGAGAAAAGTGTTACGTCACTGCGATTTTTCATATACCTGTGCCCCCCGGACGTGACGTAGTGTGCTCGCGCGCGTGCAGGGTCTCTGCGATCGAAAAAGAGCGCTAGCAGCGCGCCACTCAACGCCGCAATCGTCAAAAGCGGCGTGTTAGTATGCTTTATTATGAATGATGTGTGTAAAAGTGGGTTTTTATGTTGTTTATTTGGAGGAAATGGTTGGAATAAATTAAGTTATTTTTATTTCTGTTGGTTGGAGTTTTTATTCAAAAGATTTCGGTCTATACCATTGATATTTACTGAAAATACCTTCGCTTGAATAAATTGCAGATATTTGGCAACTGAAGTGTTAGGTAAGCCTAAATGATATGTAAAAAGGTAAGAGACACCCTGATTATTATTTGAGAAACGAAAATATATGAATTTTCCTTATAAGACTCGCTCAATATGCTACTCCGCGGTTTATGCCCCGAGGGTGTCCGAGGGTTCCCGTTAGTTTGTCGTTGGCGCTCGGCTCACGCGCGAGCCGACGTCACCGCCTGTGACGTCGGCTCGCGAAATACGTCATACCCTGCACACAAAATAGCCGGCTGCCGAACAGCGCTCAGCATGCTTCCTCGCCATAAACGCCGCAAAGAAAGCGGAGCGGCGGCGCTCTCGTTTTTCTCGGCCACGCCTGTTTTGGGTTTACGAGAAGTGTGTGTATTATTGGTTTTACGTGTTTCTTGAGTACCCTAACCCACAAAGAAGAAGTGTTTCTTGAGTAGATTTTAGAATCAAAATGGCAGAAAGACGACGCAAGCGGAATACGGACACCATAGGATCGGATGATGTGTCTGGATCGGACGTTTCCCTTGATGGTGGCCGCAGGAAATCTTTGACGGTAAGCTCAAGCTGGAGTGGTTCCTATTTTATGTTATTGCTAGCATTATTCGTGCTGTGATGTACCTCGTTAAAAATATGAAATAAATATTTAATTGTCACTCCACCAAGTAACCAAGGTTCCTGTTAAAACTATCAGTAGATGCTGAAAATAGATTATTTGGATGTTGATGTGCAGTGCGATTTTCGGCAAGTAACGCCATTCTACTTATTATACAATGGATTGTAAGTTAAATGTGTTAAAGCTGATCATAATTTATTTTTTTCATTTTTGTCTATATATTCAGTGAATTGACATTTATGTTCACTCTGTCTGATAGATGCCTGTGAAAACGGGGTGTCGGAGGGCATATTTGGTCACGTGTGATGCGAGGCGACTATTGAGAAGTTCTCCCCCTCTCAATGCCTTTTACACAGTAATTGTCATGTGGTTTGTGCGATTTAATTTCAAGAGCCTTGGTCTAATTGCCCCAGGCGCCCTGATTTCACCTGTGTCCTGTCAGATTTGTCCACAACAGGCACCAGCTCAGTATTTTGTGTTTTCACCTTTCAGTAGCTTTAGGAGTGAGTTGATTAGTGCCTAGTGGCTTATATTTTTATAGGTATGCTAGATTTTTATTAGTTGCACACTGCATGCTGGTTTGTAGTGTATGCATAATTTTGACATGTTGTGTTACCCTTGTCTGGCTTGTGTTACAGGATTCAGATGAGGAGGGGAGACACTCAATATATGATTCTGCCCAAAGTCTAGAGGAGCTGGCTGGCCCAGCTCAATCTGAGGTGAGGATCATTATGTTAATGGTTTCTGGTTCAGAAACCTTTTAAAGCCAGCTTCTGTATTTTAAAGTTTTTTTTTGTGGGGGGGGGGGGCTTTCTTAGCCCTGTATTTCATCTTCTCATTATTTTTATGCATTTTCAAAACCTGTTTGCTTACAAACCACATTATTTACCTGTTTTCAGAACTATAGTCCACAGAAACCAGTGTTAACAATTGTCTGTAATTATGGATTTGTTGCTCAGTGAAAACCATGTTTTGAATGATGTCTTTGATCTAATGCTGATAGTGGAACATCTTGGGGGCTAGGATCTATTAGCTGAATTTGGAATAATCTGACACCTTCCTTAATTTTCTGACAAGAGCATAGCTTCCTTTGAAAGTTCTGGTACACTACCTATTTTTGAAATGTTCTCAATTTCTCAAGTGGTGCCTAGAGATCTTCCCAGATCCCAAGTGGTGCCTATTGATCTTGGAATGATCATGATTTGGTAATCTATTGTCATGTGGTGAACACTGTAGGCTATCTTCCCATGATCATAAAATATAGTACTGACTGTGTTAGTGAATGGAAGTGAATATTGACATGATGTATGCAAAAGCATCTGATGCACACTGCACAACATACCAGCAAATTGCAGTAACTGAAAGTTACTGAGGAGCATGCAAACAGTGCCAATGGCTATAAGGAAATGACTAATTACAATTCATGTTTTTCTTAGATCAAAGTATAGATGGTGATGGCCCTTTTTAGGTTATGGATAACTCCTGCTATCATTTTTACAGGAAAAGAAAAGTTTGGACGATGACGAGGACCGCAAGAATCCTCAGTTTATCCCAAAGAAGGGCAACTTCTATGAGCATGACGATCGGGCCGGCGATGAAGAGTGAGTAAAGTAGCACTGTAGCACCACATTAGAAAATTGTATCATGGTATCGGATCATCGATCATTACGAGCGAGCGAGCGCAGCGAGCGAAGCGAAGTCTTTTCAATAAAACGGAAAAATCTCGGTATGAGCGGCCCGGCCCGGCCTGTAACGCTTTTGAGAGGCTTATATCTCAGCAACCGTTGGACCGATTTGCCTGCGATCTTTTTTGCTGGGTAGCCCCATCCCTTCTACCCCGTAATTGACTACTTTTGACACATCTCAGTGACCGTCGTGGCACGTGCCGCGTGAAAAGTCAAGGATGTTCAAGCTGTTTTGCAAAAGTAGTGATTTTGAGAGGCTCATATCTCAGCAGCCGCTTGGGCGATTGTCTTGCGGTAATTTTTGTAAGGTAGCTGCATCCCTTCTACCAAAGGTCGGATACTCTTGATCTATGTGAGTGACCCCCTACTGCACGTGCAAAATAGAAAAGAAGAGGTGCCAAATTTGTTCCCATTTCAATAACTCTGTGATTACTGGGGCGATTTCGCTGAAACTTGGCATACAGGTAGGCACCCACCAGGCAATGCATTCCCATGTGTTGCGGTTAGGGTGCTAATGCACGTGCGCACGTGCAGGGGGCGCTTCCAGATCTCGAGAAAGGCTGGGCCGATTGTGCTCAAATTTGGTACACGGTTGGGGACCGGTAAGTAGGGTGCCGTGCAAAAGTCAGTTTGGACCCCGTTTACACGTGCGCACGTGCAGAATGCCGCTTCCAGATCTGAGGAACGGCTGGGCCGATTGCGTTCAAATTTGGTACACCGCTAGCGACCGGTTAGAAGGGTGCTTTGCACAAGCCCCGTTGGAAGTACGCTCTCGCCCTTCCGCACGTGCAGGGCTCACTATCTCGCTCGCTCGTCCTTCGCCCAAAAGGCCTTTTACTGGTAACTAGAGTAACAGAATGTTTTACGTTGCAAAGAGCTAGGAGTTAGGACCGTTTTCCAGCTGTTTGACACCGGCACTTCTTGCCGAGAATTACTGTGTAGTTGAAGACAGATATTTCATTATTGGCAGGATAAATTTGTCGTGTTCCGATGAAATTGGGTCGCGCTATACTTACCTACTTACAGTTAAGCGCGATTTTACACACCTGACTTAACTTACGCCTGACTTCGAATCGATCGATTTTCTCCTCCCCATCGACCTGCGAAGATGCAGCTAACCATTCTTAAGCCTGAAACCAGACTCTCTACACAGTCAGGAAATCGCATGCGAGAGCCTATCCAAATGCATGGAAGCATGCTCGCATCAATCGCACAGGCCAGCCTTTAACCTCCTTTTTTAATCACCTTTAACCATTTTGCCGTCCCTCCAGCGGCGACCGCAAGGTGCCGGAGCCGAAGCCGACTCGCCGTGTCTGGAAGGAGGCGGACCGGTGGCAGCACGACAAGTTTGACGAGAGCCAGCAGGCGCCCAAGTCGCACGAGGAGCTGGTCACCATGTACGGATACGATATCCGCAGCGAGGACCTGGCGCCGCGCGCCCGCCGCCGCCGACGATACGGGTTAGTAAGCTGGGGCTCAAATGGCATTACGAACTGTTACGTGTGAGAGGTCAGAGGAAGGATGAGTGGAAATGATACTTTGTGATTGTGAGGGTTTTTTGCCGTTCGTTGCTCTTGTTGCTATTATGACCAAGGCGTTGTGTGTTTCGCATTGGGTTCTTCAGGTGATAGCTGATAAGTGATAAGATCGACTTGTTCACAAAAGTAGGCCGTTATTTCGATTGTTGCAACGCATGGCACCGCTTAATTTTCCGTTCATTGTTGTGTTGTATTGCTTATAAACTTGTGTTCTGGACATATCCTGGCACTGGATATGGCCGAATTGGTTCATGAAACTTCTATCCATGTTTCCAGGCGCGGTCCTAACAAATACACACGCAACTGGGAAGACGAGGAGGCCTACGGCAAGTCCGGCGGCGGTGGCAGGGGCGGACGGGTGGGCCGCGGCGGTCGGCGGGGCGGCGGCTCCGGCCCTCACCGGCCGCCGCCGACCGCCTCTAAGGACGAATTCCCTGAGCTGGGTGATGCACCTCCGCGGCGCGGCTCCGGCGGGGACGGTCCGCCGCCGCGCCGCGAGCACTCGGACGAGCCGCCGCGGCCCCGGCAGCCGCCGCCGCACCGCGAGCCGCCGGCGCGCCGCGAGCCCGTGGAGCTGGCCGAGCCGCGCCGGCCCGGGCCGCCGGCAGAGGACGGCCGCAGGAGGGAGGCGCCGCCGGCGCGCGGCCGCGCCAGGGGCAGGGCGGCGCCGGCGCCCGGCCGCGGCGGGCCCCGCGGCGGCGGCGGAGGAGCGGGAGACTACGCCCCGCCCAGAATGGCCGCTCATGACGAGCAGGAGCTCAGCAGGGGCGTGAAAAAGATGACCATCGAGGGTCAGGAGAGCCGGAGGGGCCGAGGTGAGTCAGCTGTCGGCTGATAGATAAGGATAAGCAGCTGATATGAGTTGATCATTGCAGCTGTGGGTCTCTGGATTTTGTCGTTTTGCTGGGCAAGGCCCTCGCGGTCCAATGAAACATTTTCAGAGCCGGACGGCTGATTGGAATTAGGGGGAGACATTGGTCTGGGCAGCAGAGCTGCGGAGTCGATGGATTTTCGGCGACTATGACTCCGGTTTTCAAAAACCAACTCTGACTCCGGGCAGAACTGTCGACTCCGACCGACTCCAACTCCCGACTCCGACTCCGCAGACCTGGCAGGGCTGCGGAGTCGACTGATAATCGGTGACTCCGACTCCGAATCCGGCTCGGGTTTCCAAAATCGACTCCGACTCCGGTCACACCTGTCGACTCCGACCGACTCCGACTCCGCCGACTCCGCAGCCCTGCTGGGCAGGCACCATAGGGAGTCACCGGGGCTGAGCCCGTCCGTTAGGACAGGCCCCCCCCCCCCCCCCCCCAGCACTCCGTGCACCCGGCTACGGGTGTGCTTCAAGGGAGCAGCCCGCGTGGGATAAAGTTGCCTGTCTAACCCGGAGCGAGGGTTGCGACGTGGAGAAGAATGATTTCAGTATCTCGGGGATAGGTACGACGGAACGGGTGGTGTCTGGAGTTAAGGTTTGAAATGGGAGGGATATACGATGGTTTGCTATGCTGCCAAGTGTGTTGATAGATTATGCATCGTGATAGTGAGCCATTTCACATTGTCACTTTCCCCTCAGGTGGCGGCGGAGGCGGAGGCGGCGGTACCCGCACCAGTCAGGTGCCGCCGCGCCTGCAGGAGCAGATGTCTCGCCCGAAGCGCTACTCATCTCAGCGTCAGCGTCAGCACGGTCAGACCGGGTACTCGGACCAGCCGGCCGGCTACCCGGAGCGGTCGCCCCAGCAGGCGGCCTACCAGGAGCAGCCGCCCGCCTACCAGGAGCACGGTCAGCCGTACTACGAGGACGAGCCGGCGGCGGCCGGGTACGGCGCCGCGCCGCCGCCGCCGCCGCCCGGCCGGCCGCCGCTGTACGCCGGCGACCACTCCACGCCCCCGCCCATGCCGCCGGCACCGTTTGTGACTCCGGGCCTGTACGCGGCCGGCGCGGCGCAGACGCCGCCGCCGTACGCGGCCGGGTTCCCGCCGGCGCCGCAGGGTCCGCCGGCCCCGCCTCCGTTCGCCGGGTTCCCGCCGCCGCCGGCGCCGGCCGGCCCGCCCGTCCAGCCGCCGCCAGATATGATGGTGAGTGGGGCAGGAAGCGGGATAGCGGGGAAGGTGGTGTCTAGGTGATAACTTTACCTAAGAAAGATGAGCGATGGGAAGTTTTTGGATATTTACTTAGGTGTATTTTGAGTTAGTTTTGATATTTTCATGTGAATAAGTAGCGCAGTAGAGGCGATGAAGGTCTCAATCTTAGCTCGTCACGTTCGAGAACAGAACCATCTTTGGTGCTGGCTGGTTCCAGTTCCGGTTTCTTCTCCTGTTTCGAAAGCACTGGCACTGTTCCAGCACATCGTCAAACACCTTCCCTCCCCGTCTGTTCCGCAGCTGCCGGTGGTGGAGAGCGGCGGGGTGACCTACTACAACACCCAGGCGCAGGTACCGCCGCCCGCCCAGCCGCTCCAGAAGCGGCCCAAGGCGGCCATACCGATCCTGCGTCCGCCGGAGGGCTCCGTTGGCTCAGATGGCGAACTGGCCTCGCCCGAGAGCGGGCCGTCGGCACCTCTCAGGGACGCACCGCCGGAATCAGACGGTGGGGAGCGGCCAGAGGCTGCGGCCGGAGAGGGTCCCGTGGGGGACGGGGCGCCCCCAGCTATCCCAGCCGCTCCCGTGAGCGAGCCCGCCGCCGTGGATCCCGCCCCAGCTCCAGCGGTACCGGCTGCCGCTCCGTCGCCGGCTGCAGCGGAGGCCTCCCCCTCCCCGGCGGCGGCAGACGCGGAGCCGGCTCCTTCACAAGTGCCTTCGGCCGCCGCGCCGCCCGCCGGCGACCGCCAGACAGTGCTTTCCGAGGCGTCCGTCTTACCGGCGCCAGCAGTGGCAGAGAACAGCGCATCACCGACACCCGACGCATCAGCGGCTGAGGCGGCAGCGCCCCCTTCCCCCGTCCCAGAGGCGGCGCCAGCCCCTTCCCCCATCCCAGCGGAGACTGTCCCTTCCCCCGCCCCGGCGGCACCGGCCCCTGCTCCCGCCCCAGAGGCGGCATCAGCCCCTGCCCCTACCCCGGCGGCACCGGCCCCTTCCCCGGCGGCAGAGGAGCCGTCTCCAGCCCCCGCCGTCCTGTCGTCAGCCTCCCCCGTACCCCAGAGCTCTCCCGTCTCAGAACCCCCGGTGGCCGAACCGCCCCCAGCGGCACCCTTACCGACAGCGACAGAGGCGCCAGTGGCTAGTAGCTAATGCAATTCGAGTAGCTGTTATCAAATGTAGGCGGGGCGGCGGGAGCTGCGCTATTGTACTGCATGCTGCGTTAACAATGCCGCGGACTATTTCGCGAGTCCCTCTCAGTACGCGGCGGGAGTTTGTACTTTGTAGCGAGGTTGGCTTGTGGTTCGAGGTGTGGCAGCAGGCTTGAGAGAATTATGTTCAGTTCCGCCCCTTCCTTTATTGTATAGTGCGATTCCTGTACAGCACCTACGCTTCTTTCCTACGAGTTCGTTTCCTCGTAGTATGACACCGGCTTCCGGCCGTGAGGCTTTATGCGGACCCAGCCAGCCGCGTGCGGGCCTTGGCAATGTTCTCTCCCGGTCATGTGGACTCTGTTGGCGAGGTGGGTGCGATTATGGTTCCCGCAAACTGCAAACCGGGATTGGTGCTGGCGGTGAGCTCGTCTGTTATAGGTACTAACTGTATTTATGTATCAATTTGACGTTTCCTTACTACAGCGTGACTCGTTACTGGAAGATAAGAAGTGACTTTGTATTTAAGATTTAACTAACCTTTCCTGTGTTTGAAGTTTTCTTAACCTAAGGTCATGTTTTGTTGCATAAACAACGAAGCGCTTGAACTTTGTTTTGGAACTTTTCGATCAGGACCTGGGCTAAGATCAACGGGAGTTGACTGATGGAAAGACGAATACAATGTTCATAGTCTCTGTGCTGTGACGCTGTGAACGGCCTATCGACAGACCGCTGGGGTTCAGTGCTGTCAGAAGCAGACGCCGTTGTGTGGTTGACGGCTCTCGAGCGCTGTTGAATTAACTAGTTATCGGGTGGTGTGAAACCTTTTCTGCTGGTAAAATTAGCTTCCGGGGAATAAACACGACCGATCCGGGCTCACAGTGCAGTGACCTACTGACATGCTATTATGTGTTTATTAATGTTGGCACTCAGGGTTGTAAACCACGGGAGAGGACAAAGGCGGCAGCCCGTCTCAGTCGGCGTGTTTAAACGCACATCGCAAGGCGCCGCGCTCAAATCTCAACAACCGAACAGACGATAGCACTGCGAGTGATTCTCCAAACGGCCAGCCCATTCCAAATCTCAACAACGCGACTTGAACAATGCAACTGGAAAATCAACTGTCAACATAATTCGCATCTGGGGCGCCGTCGTAACAACTCACTATGAACCGATCAACATACACCACAGTCACAGCTCAGCTGAAGTCGAACACTGAGTCGAAAGCCACGCTCTGTGCGTTTTGAGCGTCTGGGTTGTGTAGCTTCCGGAAGAACTTCTTTCCCTTTTGGATCTTGACCGGCGGCGTGGCGCCCTCCCTGCTCCAGGTCGCCTGGCGGATCTCGGCGGCGCGGGCCGCCCGATCGACCTTGTGTGGCGTCGTCCTGGGCAGCGGTGCCACGGCCGACACGGCCGGCGGCCCGCCCGACTTGGCCCGTTCGCCGGCCGGCTGCCGTCCCGACTGCATACGGGCGAACTTGGTCTCAAGGAACTCGTCGGTGACGGCGAACGACTCGGACATGGAGCTGGCCAGGGAGCGCACCTCGTCCTCCTCGTTGAAGACCACGCGCCGCTTCCTGACCCAGGGTGAGTGCGGCGCGCGCAGGATGCTGCGGGACGGCATGTTGTCCGTCTGCTCCGGCCGCAGCACCTGCTGTACGGGCGTCTTGGGCGTGCTGGGCGTCTTCATTCGAGGCGTGGTCGGCACGGTGGACTTGGGCGTTGTGGGCTGAGTTGACGAGTCGTCGTTCTCCGAGACGGGCGGGCCGGGGTAGCGGCGGTTGACGCGCTCCAGCGCCGTCCGCAGCCGCTTGGCCTCTGCCTGCGCCTCGTGCAGCTGAGCGGTGACCTCGCTGGTCTCCTGGCGCGCCTGGCTGACGTGGCTTTCGGTGTCCTGTTTGTACTGGTCGAGCAGCGCCGTCATCTCCTGTATGCGATGCTCGGCGTGTGCGGTGACGCGGGCGTTCTCCCGCTCGGCCTCGACCGCCGCCTGCCGGCCGGCCTCCTGTTCAGCGCCGAGCCGCTCAGTCAGCTCGTCACGGGCCGTCTCGAGCTCGGCGGCCCGGCCGACCGCTTCCTCCAGCTGCCGCCGCAGCTCGTCGCACTGGGTCTCGAGCTCAGCCCGAGCGGCGGCCGCCTCTTTCAGCGCCTCATCACGCTCCTGCAGCGCCTGAGCGTGCGACTGGTGCTCCTCCACCATGGTACCGCGGGTCATCTCCAACTCCCGGCGGCTTGTATCCAGCTCGGTATCGCGCTGTTTCAGTTCCTCTTTCAGTTCAGAGACGGTACGATTCAGCGCTGCGGCGACCTCTGCAGCCGCCTCCAGCTCAGACTTCTGCCGAACAACCTCTGCCTGCGTTCTGCCCAGTTCGTCCTTGAGGTCTGCGACGCTCTGCTGGAGCGCCGCGGCGTGGAACTCGTGGTGGCCGGCGGCTGAGCCCATCTCCTCCCTCAGCCGCGCCTGCTCGGCCTCCGCGTTGGCCAGGCTCTCTGTGAGGGCGGCCACTCGCTCACGGGCGGCGTTCAGCGCCTCCTCTGTCGCCCTGTGCTCCTCACGAATCGCCTCTCGTTCAGACTCTGTTCGAGCACGGGTGACTGTTTCCTCTTCCAGGCGAGTATTCAAATCTGTCCGCTCTTTGGTCACTTCAGTCAGGGACGCTTCCAGTTTGGCAGACTCCTCCCGACTTTGCTGTAGGCCGCCCTCCAGTGAAGCTTTCTCTTTAGCAGCTTCCTCTAGCTGCTCCTGGGCCTTGGCCAGCTCCGACTGAGTGTGCTCCAGCTCGGCAGAAGCGGTCTCCATTTCGGCACGGCTCTGAGCCAGGTCTTCAGTAAGTGTTTCCAGCTCGTCGTTGCGTTGCTGAAGTTCAAGTTCCGTGCGGTGCATTTCCTCTCCTATCAGCAGTTTTTCCCGCTCCAGCGTATCGATGGCTGACGTAAGTTTCGCCTGTTCGACCCGTAGTCGCTCGGCGTCGGCGGCACTCGCCGACAGTTCTTCCTCGAGCCGCTGCAGCGCCGCAGAATTCCGCTCGCGCTCCGCGGCCCACTCCTGCTCGCGTTGTTTTCGCACGCGCTCAGCGTCGACGGCCTCGTCGCGCAGCTGTCCGACCGTCTGCTGGTGGCGCACTGTCAGCTCGCTGAACTGCTGCTGCAGCTGGTCCAGCCGCTGCGTCTGCGTCTGGCGGTCAGCCTGCAGCCGTGCCGTGTCCGCCTCGCACTGGTCGAGCGCGGCGCGCAGCCGAGTCGCCTGCTGCTGGATGACGGCACCCACAGCGCGCGTGGCCTGCAGCTGATCAGCCACGTCTCCGCTGCGCTGCTGCTGCTGGCGGAGCGCAGCCAGCGCGGCGCCGTGCGCCTCCTGCAGCCGCCGCAGCCGCTCCTCCTGCGCCTGGTGCTGCTCCTGGGCCTCGCGCAGCTGTGTCAGCTGCTGCTGCCGACTAATTTCCGCCGACACCTTCCATTTGAGGATCTTGTCAGCCTCGGCGGTCAGCTGACAGCGCAGACTGTCGCCCTGGTCGCGGTGCTCCAGCGCCTTGTTGTAGGCAGCCATGGGCCGCTCACAGCGCTGCTGGTGGAACATGCTCCCAGCCGGCGGTGTCCTCCGCCGTCTCACCAGACCGCGGGCTTCCTACTCAGCGGCAGCGGTCGGAGCGGGAACGTGGGATCGGTCGTTGACAACGAACCAAACTGCAACAAAATAGCACGGCATAAACATAGGTAACTAGCGTTCAGATCCTCATGAGGAACATTTTCGAAAACGAAACGAGGAGGCTTGTATATTTTGATTGACCAGATACGTGCTCATTATTCACTCTTGCGTAGACTGTCGGTGATCGGGGCATTTACGTTATTGAATGGATTTAATTTACTCCGTAGTAAGAATTGCGCCTTTTAAAGTATTATAATGTAGATTGTAGGTTTATAATTACATCCCTCTACAAGAGCTTTTCCCTCTTATAAAAATAAAGGCACTTTACTCACGTTGGAAATTCTCAAACAAACATAATAGGATTTTTCGTTTTATTTCTGCGAAGGAACTACTAGGTGAGAGCTAAGCTATAAAATTTGCGCGCTGATCTCAGTAGGCAAGCAGATTTTGATGAAACCACTTAAGGGTGTGTTGCGCACGTGCCACCACGTCACCGAGACCGCAGCGTGCGCCAATCCTGGTTTTCCAGCCCCCTGAGGTCACAAAAGCCATGCAACACCTGCACAGCGGCGAGAACCTTTGAACTGCAACAGCGCAAAACGTTAACAGACTGACATGCAAAAAGCATATGCTTGTGCTAGCTAAGCATACAAAATATTTGCGTAGATTAAAAAGAGCATGCATGGTACGATGAAGTGGTATTCATCATCGCCGGAGAGGTGCAAGGCGCTCGGACCAACCAGACCGAGTGTATAAAGCCCGAGAGCGATCGCAAGACGCAAAGGCAACTACAGTAAGCACGACCACGAACAGTGCGATAAGACCTTCGAGCCACCCGCCACCCAAAGCCCTATACAGGCCCGTCATTTGTTAACATCTAGCGTCGAGAGATAAGTGACGCGGTGAATGGCTGTCCGTAGACTGTATGTGCCAAACATTATCTCAATGCAGAAGTGCTATGAGATCATGCTTATTGCTTATCTTGCGTTTCACAGGACGGCATTTGAAAAAAAAAACTTCATGCTCACCATTGCGCAATGACGTTAGAACGTTCATGAGTCTTGGTTTTAAAAGAAAACCTGATCGACTAAATTGAGACCCGAGTTGATAAGTTTCCAAATCTGTCGTTATGCCTGACACAGTAGCCGAGTAATATGGGTCAGTCCCCATCCAAAGCAGTATATAGGGGAGAGTGGGGCAAAGCGGCCACCCGGGGCATAGCGGCCACCCATCGTTTTAGCCCTTCATAGCTGGCGTCAGTTCCAATTTATGGTTTCCAATTATACTTCTCTCCACGGTCGTTCGAATGAGCCAGACCGGGGTTTCAGGCCCATCACCATTGTTCTGTGAAACACGGAAAAGCATTTCTTGCCAGGTCACCAACTATGTTTACAATTTTTAAATGTTATCTTATTCCATAACCGTTTGGAATTTTTATAAGCGTTCTTGTCCATGCATTGCATGGTTATCGTACATGTTTTCTACCAATTTTAATGTTTTTTACCCCACTAATAGCTAAGCTGGAATATTTTTGTCTCGGAAGGTATGCGCGGGGCAAAGTGGCCGGGGCAAAGTGGCCACCCCCCAATTGGCCATGGGTTGCTTCCATCTGGATAAAAAACATTATTTATATTCAAATGTGTCGTCATGCATTCATCTTGGCCACTTTTCAGTTGCATGAGTTACCAAATAATGCAATTAAATGTTTATTTTCATGAAAACCCTTTCTTTGTTTACCTACAGGTGGAAGATGATAAAGTAAACATCCATCCTGGCTTAACCTTGTCACCATCAAATACCCTAGTCGTACACGAGGCAACTATTTCGTTTCTCATATCGGGGCTTGAGAAGACGCCGGTGGCCGCTTTGCCCCAGGGTATGGGGCAAAGTGGCCAGTATGCATAGGTTTAAAGTTTTGTCAGTATCTTTCATATGTGAACGCCTTTGGAAATAAAAC